CAGTTGCTGTGCGACAACACTGGAGCCATTGCGCAGTCAAAGGAACCTAGGTCTCATCAAAGATCTAAGCACGTGCTCCGCAGATATCACCTGATTAGAGAAATCATTGATAGAATGGATGTAAAGATGGATTATGTTCCCACAGATGATAACCTGGCCGATTCTCTGACAAAGGCTGTTTCTCAGAGAAAACATGATAGTCATTATGAGGCTTTGGGTATACGACTTAGGTCTGATTGGCTCTAGGCCAAGTGGGAGCTTGTTAGTATTTGGGTGTCCTAGAGACAATCTTATGATTAAATAAGGACAGAGATGTAGACCTTTTTAATATTGTCGCAAATAAATAAAAGCACTCTTTATCTTGTTTCATAATTATGTCTCGATATTAATATTAATATATTATGAATAACTTGATAAACCCCGTGGAATAAAATAGGTATCTCTTGAGTATCTGTGATGAGATCACAATCATGAGGATTCAAGAATACCGGATGTTTATTCCTAATTTTATGTTCCTAGTCTAGAGATACTGAGAATGGGGTCAGTAATCTCGGGTAAGACTAGCACGACTTATCTATTTGTATATGGATACAAGGTATAGACCTCATGTGCTACAGATATGGAGATGTCTTAGCTAAAGTCGTGGGTGGACCTATAAGGGTATAGCTCGCACTGAACGGACCCACAAAGAGACTCTATGAGGAACTCTCACAGAGAGTATCATTAGAGTAGTCTCTTTATATTTGGGTATGTCTTTCCTAAGACCAGAAGTTATTACCTAGACTGTGTTCTAGAAGGCATGCTTTGATTGTGCACCTCGTCTGCCTGAAACATGGAGACTCATAGGTATACTGTTGGGCTTGTCCTGAAAGAACACAGGGCTAGGGTGATAAGCTGAAGGAATTCGTCAAATCTCTGTGAGAGATTAGGTTATCTGTAAACCGGAGAAATCGGGATGACATTTACAGGGACTCGGGAATCTATGCATAGTAAAAGAGATCATGAGATGATCTGCCTTTAGAGTCTGTAAATTGAAGATTCCCTATTTCGAATAAAGCTTACCCTAAACCGCAGGGGTTGATACGCTTCCTTACCCTAGGTTTTATGGGAAGGTAACCGAGACGAAAGGAAATATATACGGAAACCAAATATGTTTAATAGGATGATCAAATCATTAATCTAACTAGTTCTGGGGCAACAAAGCATTGCTAGTGCTCTGTGTTGTCATTAGATGGGTTGTGGGCTTATTGGGCCCAAGCCCATTTATGTCAGTGGCTAAGTTGGACCTAATGGGTCACACACAAACACCTAATTGTCTAGATGCTCTAGCATTAAAGGTATTGGGCCTAATAATAGTTATTAGCCCAAGAAGTTGTTTGGAACTCCACCTAAAGGGGTGGAGGGCGCATGGTTCATAGTAATGGGCTTGGATAGTCCAAGACATTACTAATTAATTTAATTAGTTAAATTGATTATCAAACATTTAAATTTTGAATTTTGGAATTCGAAATTTGAATTTTGAAATTTTGAATTTGAATTTCGAAATTCGAATTTTGAATTGGAAATTTGAAATTTGAATTTTGAATTTTGAATTTTGAATTTTGAAATTTGGATTTTGAATTAGAATTTTGAATTTTGAAATTTGAAAATTTGAATTTTGAATTTGAATTTTGAATTTGAATATTTGAATGTTTGAATTCAAATATTTGAATTTGAATTTGAATTTGAATTGCCTATGAAAGGTTGTTTCATAACAAAAGAATAAGATGAGATCTTGTTGGAACAAATCACTAGTATCATGAGAGAATCTTTTGGACAAGATCCAAGGCCATATATGGCGCTGATTTGGGTTGTTGGTGAGCAAGATTTGCTCTTCAAAATCAGCTCCAGAAGATTCAGTCAGTTTGGAGAAAATCTGAGTGAGTTGATTCAAATTTGAAAGCAACTGCTCAGATGTATCTGGTCACCTTTTTGGGCTATATGGGGCGCACCATATAGCTGATCTTATGAAGATTTCTGATCAGAATTTTGAATAGGTTTTTGAACCAATTCTCAAGAGAATATTCTAGGAGACTGTTAGCAATTTTTGAAATAAAACAGCTCCACTTCTCTCTCTCCAATCTGGCGCCTAATGATCAGATTTTTAGGAGAAAAATCTGATTGATATTTTATTTTAAATACGCTCCTCTTATTCACCTATGTGGTAGTTGTTCCTCCAAGGGTTTTTCTGAAAACCTAGCCTATTCTCTCCTCTCTCCTGCGCCACTTGTGAAGCTTTCACATTGAGAGCTTCACTTTTTCAAACACTTTCACCTAGCCTCCATCTTCACACATAGAGCGCCTAGCAAGCCTCTTTGTGGTGATCATCTGGTGGCTTCACAAGAAGGAGTTCTTGCACCTAGACGAGTGGGTGGTGTGGATCAACGTTAGAGGGTCTGAACCCTTCAGACCGGCCTTGATCATCTGGTGATTTCACGAACAAGGTAACATCATGCTTTCCTAAAGCATGATCTTGATGTGCATGTATATTCCGCAAAGAAAAATTTTGTTTTTCCCTCTTGCATGCATCGGCCTTCAAGGCCATTTCGAACTTTCACTAGCCTACAAGAAACAGAATATGGGGTGAAGTGGGTGTTAAAATTCAACAGACACATTATGATTGATTGATTATTTCTTTAGAAGATGAGTTTTTTTTCCTGTTTAAGGGGTTAGATGTAGAAGGCACCTGGACTGGTTAAATACAAAATTAACATTTTTTGGTTGGTTTAATGATTAATGTTAGAAGATGTTGTCTCTATAATTCTTCACCTTGAGTTTTAGTACCTATTGTTGAAGTGATAGATGATTTTTTTAGAAGATGAGTTTTTTTTGTCTGTTTAAGTGGTTAGATCTAGAAGGCACCTGACCTGGTTAAATACAAAATTAACATTTGTTGGTTGGTTTAATGGTTAATGTTGGAAGACGTGTTGTTGATCTTTCAGTTTCATATATATCTTGTTTTCATATCCGTTTTAGATGATGATGAGTTGATGAATGTAATGGTTGCTTAAAGCTTAGTAATAGTTGCATCTTTTGCTGTTTTGTTTTGGATCTTTTGGAGTTTTGGTTTCTAGATCATGCACCATCTCCTGGACCTTAGTTCTGCCAGATGAATCTAGCACTGGTTATGCCTCTATGATTAATAGCTTTGTTCTATTATTAGTTTTTGAAGTGACACACAATTCATGTCTTGCAGTGAAATTGCAAAGCATCGTTCACTTCCACCAGTCAAGCTTCAATGCAGCATGCTTGCTAAGGATGCTATAAAGGCAGCTGTTAAAGATTATGAAGCTAAGCGTGCCTCTGCAACTGCTAGCGGAGAGTCAACAACTGGACAGAAAACTGCCACTGCCTGATTTCTTTAATTTCTAGAATGATGATGAAAACAGTCTTTAGTGTGGTTTTATCACGGTGTTAACGAGTCAATTGTTATCATTCGAACATCTTGAAGCCAGACTATTTCAATAAGTGACCTCTAAATTGTATCTGCATGTATTTGTCAGTGTTGAAGGTTGGTCTGACTTTAATTATTAATTGATTCTCTATCTTTGGATCCATAACATTTTCAAATGTGTATAACAGCATCATGGATAAAATTGATTTTTGGCCCGCGGGCTAGCCCTAACTCGTGGGTTATATAATTTTTTAGCCCGTGTGGGCTGTTTAATATGTGGGCTTTTTGGCCCTGGCCCGCACAGGTTAAGGCCTAATGGGTCGAGCTGGTCCGTTTTGATGGCTCTAGCTGCACGTACAACAGCTGCAGAAATGTAAACCCCTATACACACACACACACACACACACATATATATATAGGATTTGCATTCATCATGCAACATGACAACAAAAAGTTTCCTAAACACAACATTTTGTGGGGCCCGCATTTTTTGAATAAAAAAAAAACTACGGCACGGAAAGCAATCTCTATAACATAACACAATCACTTTTCTTACAAGATAACTTTTATAAAACCCTATATATATATATGGTAAACTCATTTATGTAGCCGCTTTACGTACAACAATGACAGGTGTATGGTTATGATTTCTCATATCTAATGCTTTCATCTTTTGTATGATTATAATTCCCTGCATTTAATGCGTTCAAGTATATATATGACAAGTATTTGATTATTGCACGTACAGTAGCTGTAGAAATGTAAATACACACCCATATATATATATATATATATATATATATATATATATATATATATATATAGGAGAAAAATATTTCTCAAGCAGTTTGAGATATATTTATCTTCTGTCTATCCAAAAAACTACGTCGTTTTATTTATTTATTTTCTTATATTAATTGGTTCACATTTGAATGGTTATGATTCTCTTTTTTTCTCTCTTCCTTTATCGTCATTGATTCATCTTTGTATGGTTATGATTAGTGCAGGAGATAAAGTTATCTTAAGCAACTTGATAAACAATACAATTTTAAGTGTAGTGTTTGTTATTGTAAATGACACAATTTTATGTTATTTTAAATGAAACTATGTCATTTTTGTCTGTTTTGTCATTTTTTCTAATTTATAAAATTAGAAATAAAAAAATGAATATATATATATATATATATATATATATATATATATATATATATATATATATATATCGAGGTTTACATTTCTGCAGCTGCTGTACGTGCAACAATCAAATACTTGTCATATATATATTGAAAGCATTAAATGCGGGGAATCATAACCATACAAAGGATAAAAGCATTAAATGCGGGAAATCATAACCATACACATGTCGTTACTATACGTAAAGCGGCTTCTGAAATGATTTTACCATATATATTTTGGGATAGGATATTGTGACACCCAAGTGATGTTATACCCATGTAACACCCAGTCAATCTCACCGTTAAATTAGGTTTTTGATCTAACGATCTAGATTTAATTCTTATATACACCCTCACTTCCCCTTCTCTCTCCGCTTTCTCTCTGATCATACTCTCTCTTTTCCCTTCTCTCTCATCAAACTCTCTCTCTTCCCTTTCTCTCTGATCCACCGTTGCCGCGCCTCCCCCTCTGATCCACCGCCGCCACTGCCGCCCATAGCCGCCGTTGTCGCGCCGCCCGACTCCACCTCCGTCATCCCGCGCCGCCCACTCCACCGCCTTGCCGCTGCCGTTCCAAACTTGTGGAGCGAATCAGAGATTTCCAGATCCGATCTCAACCCAAGTGTTTTCCTCTCACTCTCTTCTCTCCCAAACCCCATATCATTACATGGTAAAAATCAAAACCCCCTTTTTTCCCATTTCAGTTCATTATATTTTGAACATCTGACCCACACTGCCAAATTTCTCTTGTAAAAGTTGCTGTAAATATTTAGGGGTTATCAATACTGTGAAATATGAATAGCATTTTGTTGTGATCACTTGAAGAAATTGTTTTTGTTTCACTTGCAAATTTTCATTGAAGATGATATATAAATCATCTTGCTTGTAAGGTTAAACTTCTTCCATGGCCACCACTTTCTATTCTCTAACAATATTTCTAATAGCAAAAATGAACTGATTATCTTACAATTACATACATAAATTAGGTGTGGAAAATGATCCAGAAAAAGATGGAATGTGTTGAAGTAATAGTCTTGAAGGAACCAATTCATCATTTATGGGCACATGGTGAAACAATTTTTGCAATTACTGAAAGCCAGGGAATAAAGGTGATGCTTCAATGATTTGTGACATGTAGCACTGAAACTTTAAAACAAAGTCACACACATATGTACCACCAGGTCTTCTCTATTATCTAGCTATACTGAAGTTAACCACAGTTTTGATTAGTTCAATAGAATTATTTATATTTTTTACCATTTGCAGCTAATTAAAGAATCAAGAGTGATAGGAGATATTATCAAAGGTAAGGAAGCAAAGTGCATGGCAGTGGCTCAGGGAAAGTTATACATTGGCTGCACAGATTCAAGCATACAGGTTAGTATTTTGTTGCTTGACATGCATTCTGGTACCAATAAAATACAAGCATGACATGATGCTTTATTTTAGGAGTATTCCACACCATACAACTGGGAAATAGAAATCAAAGCACGTACAAGGAGTTGGAGGAAGCAAAGTAAGCCCATCAATTCAGTTGTAGCATTATGTAGCTGATCTTTATATTTTGTGTTTTTCTTAAATATGTCAGATTGAGGACCAGGGTTTGAGCAGCAGCTTTTTTCCTTTCATAGTTGTGGAGGAGGATGTTTGCTCTGAAATCTGTGTACTTGAGCCTTTACTGGAATTAAGTGATACTGATCAAGACATTGAAGGAAATGGAAAAATTAAAGCCAAAAATCAAGCCATGGAGTTCTCTGTGGACCATGATTGGTGTGCAGTAGTTAAAATACTACTGAACCTCCTGCTTGATGAAACTTTTTGTTGTATAAGGGAAAGGAATTGTTGTATGTTTTTGTATTTTATGATTGTTGTTTATAAGAAGCTATTGTATTTTTTGAGGCACATTTTTGTCCTGTTTATCTAATTCGGTTGAAAAGGATGCTGATATAAAAATTTATATCGTACACATTGTTTCAATGTATTGAAAATCGCGTCTTTTTCTCCTTCTTGCAATATTTTTATAATTATTTCCTTTCATATTTTTATTCTTTTAGTTTCCATATAAAAACTGCAAGTACACATGCCATCTACACCTAATAAAGAAACCGTAGGATACTAGGAGCAGGGATACGATCATTCGATTTCAAGGTTTTTCTCAGGCTTCCTTCCATAGTGAGTGAATGGTGACTTTGACAGTGAATTGACATTATTAAAAAGAAACATGGCCACTAATATAAAAAACTCAATACAAGAATAAACCAAATTACAAAAAATATTGTTCAACGATACAATATGTCTTATAGCAACTAAAAGAAATAATAAATTAAATGATAATCATGTAGCAAATGTCATGTAACCCAAAATAAAAAAAAAACAACAACTAAAGTCAATGTAAATTTTTCTCTCTACATATACGCTTATTATGTCCTCGTTTCTTGCAATTTCCACAAATATTAGCATTCTTTGATGCTTCTTCAATCCCACCAGGCATGTCATTCCTAATTTCATCATTTAAGTCATTGTAGTCCGAATGGTCATCCATAATATACCTAAAAATTTAAAACCAAGAAATCATGTGTTCAGTGTAAGCAAGGTAAACCAGCTTTTGCAAAAATTAGAAGGAAAATTGCTATCCTACAAGATGTTTGCCCGTGATACAAAAGCTTCAAGAAATGAGTAAGTTCTTAATACTTGAATTTATATCTCTACTCAATAGAAATAGCACATACCAAATTCAGCTATGGCTTTTGTAGATAAGAGCTACTGACTATACAACTTGAGTCAGTGACAATGCTCATAAACAATAAAATTTAAAAACTTGACGGTACTGCATTTTGTCATTGTGAGAACTCTTTCCCTTATTGCATTGTAAGTAATGGCTTTTGGCAAATGATGCCTATGAAAAGAAGAATGAGCCAAGAAACAGGTATCATAAATAAATAGAAGTTAGAATCAACCTCTCAGCCACTGACTATTCCAACTATTATTCTTTATAATGTTGACCATAACTCATAATGATCACAACCACACGGTTCAACATTCCATGCCACTACTACTCTTCCATATTTTTAATGAAGGCATTGTACCCATGTTCTTTAGGCAGCGGAAATTAAAGTTTATAAAGTAAGAAAACCAAAAATAATATGCAGCACCTGCCCATGCAGTTTCAGCAAAGACACCGGCTGTTCTCAGCAAGGCTGAAGTGCACCTTGAAAATTTTCACAGAAAGGTCAGACTTACTTTACCAGATGCACAAAGTTTCTGTCAAAGAGAAGCAAAAATTGGTATAATTAGAAGGCAATGCAGAAACTGGAGGAAAAAATCAATTTCAGAAAAAATCGTTTCTTTCTAATTGCTTTTTCTTATAACAGAATATTTTAAGAAACCAATTCTCAAAACAGAAAAATTTCACTGCAATGTCAAATTTCACTAAAATAATAAGGCTTTGATGTGAGGTGCTACTCACATCCATCCACGGTAACTGGGTTTTCTATCTAGATCATTGTCTCTCTAGTTTCTACAGGCTTCATAATCTCCAATTGTGAACTATTTTGCATGTGAGAATTGAAGAACTTTCCTAATAAAGGTATAGTCTATAGAGAAGATCATGCAATAATTTCAAGCTTTGGTATTTTCTGAGCTGGGTCCTCCCGCAATTGCATAAGCCATTTAAAAGTTGTCAACAAATTTATTCATAAAAAAGAAGAAAGAAAAAGCTGAGTCATAAAGCCAATTTGAATCTTCGTTGCACAACATTATAGAGGGTTCAATACAAATATCAAGCTACTGTTTACGCATATACGCTTTGTCTTTCTTCCTAAAAGGCATTTAGTACTATATATCAAATTTACACAAACTAAAATCAGGAATTTCAAAGGTGAATCTGACAATACTTCACGTGAGCAAATGAAACTTTAACCTGACCTCATCACCTATATTGATGGTTATGACCAATCAAAATGAAATTTCAAAAGAAAATAAAATTGTCAATGTACCTTTCCAGTTTTGGTACCCTGAGATAATCACATTCCTGTAAAGACAAAATAGTTTTAATACACACACGTGACCATCAAATTTGGGAGAGAAAATTCAGCTGTACGTGACCATCTCTGATTCGCTCCACAAGTTTGGAACGGCAGCTGCAAGGCGGTGGAGTCGGGCGGCGCGGGATCAGAGGGGGAGGCGCGGCGGCGGCGACGGATCAGAGAGAAAGGGAATAGAGAAAGGAAGAGAGAGAGTTTGATGAGAGAGAAGGGAAAAGAGAGAGTATGATCAGAGAGAAAGGAGAGAGAGAGAAGCGGAAGTGAAGGTGTATATAAGGATTAAATCTGGATCGTTAGATTAAAAACCTAATTTAACGGTGAGATTGACTGGATGTCACATGGGTGTAACATCACTTGGATGTCACAATATCCTATCCCATATATTTTAAGAAAAAAGTGTCAATTTAAAAGATATAAAGTTTGTGTCATTTTTATCTTAAAGAAATAAATAGATCAAATAAGAGAGTGGATAAAAAAAATAAAAATATGAGTCTCAACTTTTTGTGAAAGTGAAATAACACAAATTGTGTGGTTCAAAACTACAAACATTTTTTTCCATATTTTATATAAACAAAAAAAGACAAAGCATGTGACATTAACAAAGAAGAAGATGGAAACTCCGAGAACGAACCCACTTGACAGTTTTACCCCTGACACTTCCTTCAATTTACATGACGCTACTTTGTTCTTTCGTACTTAACCTTTTCAACTTACCGTTTGGACCCAATCATCGGCAATCAAAGCATGGAGCGCGGGAATATGGAGGCGGCGCCGGAGGAATACCGGCGGAGTTCCGGCGAACCGGGGGCGGAGGAGGCGAAAGTGTTCAGGGGGAATGAAGTATTCGGCGAGTCGCCATCATCCAACTTTTTGAAGACGATTTTGGCGTTGGCGTTGTGGCTGGGAACTATTCATTTAAACGCAGCGTTGATGCTCTTCGCAGTTCTCTTCCTTCCTCTCTCCAAAGCACTCTTGTTCGTTTTTCTCTCTTGCTTTGCTTTTCTTTTATTTTCTTTATAAAAAAAAGTAGTATCTATTGATGATATTTTAAATGGGTTTTGTGGTGTATGTCAGGGTTTTTGGTTTGCTTTTTGTGTTGACGGTGATTCCTGTTGGTGAAAAGAGCAAATTTGGTCGAAAATTGTCCAGGTGCTATTTTTTTTTTGTAATTCCTTCTTTTTACAATAACGCACACTTTGAGTATTCAAAAAAAAAAAAAAAAAAACGCACACTTTGAGTGTCTTTTTATTTTTTCTTGTCTGAATAAAAAGAATATATCTTTTTTTTTAAGAAGAAAAAGAATTGGGTATTTTTCAGGTACATATGCAGACACGCTTGCGGTTACTTTCCCATCACGCTTCACGTAGAAGATATAAAGGCCTTCCTTCCAAATCGTGCTTATGGTTTGTACTTTGTACCGACCTATTAATTCAATCTTCACTTTTGATTTTTTTTTTATTTTTTATTTTTTAAAAAATTGCGTTCATTTGCACTCCTTTGCCATTGGCCAAAGACAAAAAAAAAAAAAATTTCTTGAAATAGCAAATATATTTTTTAAAAAAGTTATTTTTTATTTTTTTTATTTTGAAGTTTGCTGTGGCTTCTTTGGTTTAGGAAGAAAGGGTTCATAGGATAAGAGACTTGAGATCATCGTTCCTCGTGTTCCATAATGGGGGCTTGGTGACAGTCGTGAAAAGTATAACTTTCCTAAAAGTTTTGTAAGGGACCATAGAATATTGGGTGGCACTATTGACACTCTAAATTGCTAACTAACTGTATCCAATTTATTTATTTTTTAAAATTGCTGACTAACTGTTTTATGTTTTAATTTCTTGAATTGTCATAAATTAAATGTGTATAGACACACATGAATATGATTGCTTAAGGTTTGACTTCAATAATTTATTTTTAATTATTTGTAATTTAAGAGATTACAATTGAAAGTACTTAGTTTGATGTGTGGATAGGCAATGATAGTGCCAGTTGCCCCGCTCAAACAAAATGATTTATAAATTAATTGATTTTTTAAAGTGTTACTTTTCCAAATGAATTTTAATAGGATTCATTTATGAATGAAACCAGTTCTTTCATTTGAAAGATTCAACATTGTGTAAATATGACTAATTGTCCTGGATGAAATGATTTCTTGTTTATCCTTGAGCAGAGCTAGATAAGAAACATGTTTACGAATTTTAAGCCATCATATTTTTTGGTTCAACTCAATTTCTAAAAGTTTCTGTATGGAATCTCTAGTTAGCACAATTAACTAGATTTTTTTAAGGGATTACTGTTTGTCTTTTTAAAAGACATAGAATTGTGTTATTTTAATCAAAACTATTGTGTTTTATTGTGAGAGAAACAAAAATCATAGGAGGAGAAAGTGAGATTTTTTTTTTTAATTCAAATATTAAATAAAATATACTAGTTTTAAGTAAAATGACGGCCCTTTAAAAGGACAAACTTTTTTTTCCTTTTTTTAATTAAAAATCCCATTGGTTAATCATGGTGATGATTCCTGTTTTTTTTGTCTTTTCTTTTTAGTAGCTCATTGATATTAACAACATTATGCCCTGCATGCAGTTTTTGGTTATGAACCACATTCAGTTTTGCCAATTGGTGTTGTTGCACTAGCTGACAACACAGGTTTTATGCCGCTTCCAAAAATAAAAGTTCTTGCTAGCAGTGCGGTGAGGCTTTTACTTGAGACTCTGTTTTATAATGAAGGCCATTAAAGATATTATTTTAAATTTTTCTCGTCACATTTGATGAATAGATATTTTATGCACCATTTTTGAGACACATATGGACATGGCTGGGTCTGACACCAGCCACAAAGAAGAACTTTATCTCCCTGTTGGATGCGGGCTACAGTTGCATCCTAATACCTGGTGGAGTGCAAGAAACCTTTTTAATGGAGCACAGTTCTGAGGTACATTGTTTTATACTCTCCTTTTTACACGCAATTTATATTTTTATTCTTTCATTGATAACTGAAAATGTTCATTGTCCTTTAGATATTGGATTATGACTGTGCCAAAGTTTAGTCATATGTTGGTTTAGGCATTTTCCCTTGCTGTGCAAGCAAGCACTTGGCCTCAATTACCCTGTCAGTGACATATGTTTGAATGATTAGGAATGTTAGATAGTCATTGACTCATTAAACTTTGATTTTTTCCCCCATATCAAATTTATATTTAGATTAGAGTGGGGAGTGTGATGGTACCAGGAAAAAAAAGAAAAAAAAAAAACTGTGTTATGGACCATAATATTGGGTCCATATCTTAACAACCTAACAAATGAATAAGCAGCACATCATGATTGATAAGATACCAAAATCTAATCCCAACAATAAGATAAGACCCCACAACAACCTTATAACAGACTAAGTGAAGGCTCAACCAGGTAATTCATTATAAATAAAAGTGAGGTACACATTTTTTGCTTGTCTTTACTTCTGCCATATACCCATGTCTTGGCTATGCCCGTTACTATTTAGTGCACAATGATCCATACACCCTTGAGGTATCTCTTTCATAGATATTCGCGAGCGTACAGATCTCATATTAAGTCATCACCTATCCGGTGAACATTCCCGGTCCACCCGTGCATAACACTTTGTATTACGAATGATTAGGGAATCAACCCTTAGACAGCACCAAATTCCTTGAAACACAAGTACAATCACTACTGCTAAGGAATTGAAAACAATACATAATCACTAAGAATAATCCACTTATTTACGAATCACACATGCCAATTCAATCTATTAATTGGACAAATTGTTAATTGACAGAAAAAATAAAATAAAGATCAGCAAATGGACACACCAATACTTGTTAATTCTGAAGAAGAAAGACAAAATTACAGTTAACCAACTACTCCCTCTATAAGGAAAAGACCCTTCTCAAGAGTTCCCATTTACCTCCTTAATGGAACTACTTCTTTGATGCCTCCATCCATCCACTCTCTTCCCTATAACTAACTCATCATCACCATTTCCTCCCTTCACCATTCAGAGCATGCCACGTGTATTCTTTTGCAATAAACTCTCCTCCATTCCCTTTCTTCTCATTATGTACTTATGTACTTGAGGCATTATGTACTTAAGGCAGAAATCGGGGATACTTTGGCTAATGTTACAAGTTCAAGGAAGAAAACAGTTATGCATCCAGTCCTAAGTTCCTGTCATATACTTCAGCTCACACAAGTCTAATCATGCTTCCACCTGGAGTCTCAAGTTAAGTGTCTACAGAATGTTCCACATCTAATTACTCAAGGTAACTTAAGTACATTCCAAAGTTCTCATGTCATACCTATATAGACATTAACCCTTTTCTCAAAAGTACATGTTACATCTTCTCCAATACAGAAACTACTCAAGAACAGTATATTGATGTGGACCAACCAGTACAATGTTCAGTAAGACAGTTACAATAACAAAGACAATATATTGCTATGGGAAATTACAATGACAACAATGGAAGAGACAATTAACATTAATAAAAAAGAGAAAATAACAATGATAGTTCTAGAGCAATTGGAGAGGCTCTAGTCTCTCCCTAATCACCTAAGAGGTGCCCAAAAGTCCCAAGTCCAAAGATGCCTCTCCTCACTTCCCGGCTGCTTTTTAACCATCTCATCCTTTCTCCTTGCCACCTCATCCCTTCTAACAGAATTAGAGCCTTCCAACAACCTTACCTTTAGAATATTTCCTTTACTAATTGAGTCATCCTTCTTAAATAATTCCCTTCCCTGTGGCAATTCTTAGGATAAACCATTAGGTGGGGTCCTATCACATTATGTACTTAAGGCAGAAATTGGGGATACTTTGGCTAATGTTACAAGTTGAAGGAAGAAAAGAGTTATGCATCCAGTCGTAAGTTCCTGTCATATACTTCAGCTCACACAAGTCTAATCATGCTTCAACCTGGAGTCTCAAGTTAAGTGTCTACAGAATGTTCCACATCTAATTACTCAAGGTAACTTAAGTACATTCCAAAGTTCTCATGTCACACATCAACCCTTTTCTCCAGAGTACATGTTACATCTTCTCCAAAATACATAATTGTTAGAGGGAATACAATTTAAAACCATTAACGTAGTCTTACATAATAGCTTAAGTTATTGGGTTATATTAGTTTTTTACATGGTATCAGAGCCATCATGATCAAGTGCTCACGAGTTCGATCTTCACTAACCCCATTCTACTAATAAATAATGTGGAGTTTCTTAGCATAGGTAGACGGAGCCTGTGCATTGTCCACCTTTCAAGCCCAATGGGCTCTTATGTGAGGGGACGTGTTAGAGGAAATATATTATAAAACCATTAATGTAGCTTCACCTAATAGATTAAGCTTTTGGATGAAATGGTTCTTTACAATAATTTTAAACCGATTTAGTTAACTAAACAAACGTGAACCTCAGCTTTACATATGACATGATTTCTTTACAAGACAAAATACACAAATAGGATTCTTCAAAAGTCATTCAATTACATAGCTTCCAAAACCGAAACCAAACATCCACAAAAGCACATTTCACTCCAACAGGGCAGATTTCAATCTCATCATGGGTCATTTTTTTGCTTTGTTCCTTTCCTCCTTGGGTTTTGCAATTGCTGCCCACAAAGGGTAAGAAAAATGGTTATCGATGAGCTATGAAACCAGGAAATTCCTTCCACCATAGGAGCTCCAAGACCTGCAATACTGTTAATACAAGGCAGCATATACATTCGATCTTTAGTTCTCATATGTCATACAAACTATAGCACACAATTGTCCTTGGTTCCATGAAATTCATCCCAACATAAGGTGGGAGGGGTTCCCTAAGAGACCTCCTTGTCTTCATAGGTGAAATCAACATAGAAAGCTAACTTCCTACGAGACTCCTTTTTCTGCTTGCAAACCTGGGCAGGTTCGATCCATGCTCATAGTCCATAATTTCTCACACCATTGTAATTAATATCAGCCATAAAAACATCTACCAACTACAATTATTTCTTGTTGGGATAAATTTTAAATGTCCGTTTTTAGCAGTTTTGGTTTTTTAGTTTCTTGTGTCAGTTAGAATATTAATGTGTCAGTTATGTCAGTTATAAAGTAATGAGGGTGTTATGTGTGGATTTATGTTTGTCAGTTTTATAGCTTATAAATAGCCTTTGATAGTTTGTATGAAATGTAGAGCAAGAAAGCAAGAATAGAAAAGAAAAGTTTTTTTGTAGATACACAAGTATAGTTGTCTCTTGCATCTGTGTGGATATCCAAATTCTAACAAATTGGTATCAGAGCTATGGAGAAAAAGAGCGAGTTGGAGGTGCCACTCTTCCATGGAGATAAGGATGAAGCATTAGATTGGCTTCTCTGTTTGAAGGAACATTTTTGGAAAGAAAAAATCTGGACGGAGGACAAATGTCAGGTAGCCATGAGAAGACTCAGAGGAAGCGCAATCAAATGGTTCCGTACATGGAACTGCCGCGACTTTAAAAATATGTGGAAGGATTTTCTAATGGCCTTCATAACAAAATACTTGCCTGGACATTTTGATCTGATTAATGAAGAAGATGAAATCTTCAATGATGATGATGAAGATGAGGAAAATCTTGCGGATGAAGAAGAGACCGAGATGGTGGAATCCGAGGTTGCCAACGGCAACGCATCCGCGGAGGAGATTGACGTGTCAGAACGCGTAAGAGACGACTCGGAGAAGAAGACGATGGAGATGACTGCGGTCGAAGGAGCCGAGATAGAAGAGGAGGAGAACAAGGGAGCCGAGATAGAAGAGGAGGAGAACGAAGGAGCCGAGATCGAAGCAGAGAAAGACGGGAACGACGAGTCCATTGTCAAGGTAGAAGACTTCGTGGAACTTGAGTGTCTGGAGACAGAGTCGAAAATCGGAAAGGAGATTGAGAAGTCGAGGTGCTTGATGGAGACCGGCATGGAGGAGACCGCGAATCCGAGTTCCGTGTTGATAACCGGGTTGGGTGAGATCCCGGCTAAATCACCGAGTTCATGTTTTGGAGAAGAGCTCGACCCCGGCGTGATGAGGTTGATGTCGGAGACCGGCATAGGCGCGGTTCGGGTTGGAAGTCAGAAGTTGGAGACTGCATTGAATTCATGGTGGAAGTGGAAGATGTCGACACCACCAAAAAGAGACCACTCCCTGGAGGACGGTGGTCTGAGATTCCATTGATGAGGCGCGTGGAAGCTGTTCTCGATGAAGAAGAACCCGGCGATGAAGAAACTGAGAGCGAAAAAATGGAAGGTGCATTTGAAGAAAAGGATGTGGTCTTGAAGAGAAAAAGAGGTTTTGTTGACAATACCAATGATGCAGAAATTGGGATTGGACGAGGAAATAAAATTGTGAAAGCAACTGATGAAGTGGCGAATGAAACTGAGAAGAATTTGGGTGACGAGAAACTTGCAGGTGAAGAAGATGCAGCGAATGGAAACAAGGAAAGTCCTGCTAATGAAACTGAAATATCAAATTAAAGAAGCCACCAGATAAAATAAAATATGTTCAGAAAAATAATTGCTGGGGAGATATTTTTTTGAGTTAATTAAGTTGGAAGGTGTTAGATGTTTTTTGTCGGTGATCAAGATTGAAGAAAACAGGCGCGATCAGAAAGTTGAAGAAAAGTAGAAGCAACGCGAAGAAAGAAAGAAGAATTCAAAATTTATGGGGGAGTTTTGTTGGGATAAATTTTAAATGTCCGTTTTTAGCAGTTTTGGTTTTTTAGTTTCTTGTGTCAGTTAGAATATTAATGAGTCAGTTATGTCAGTTATAAAGTAATGAGGGTGTTATGTGTGGAGTTATGTTTGTCAGTTTTATAACTTATAAATAGCCTTTGATAGTTTGTATGAAATGTAGATCAAGAGATCAAGAGATCAGTAGATCAAAGAGAAAAAGAGCAAGAAAGCAAGAATAGAAAAGAAAAGTTTTTTTGTAGATACACAAGTATAGTTGTCTCTTGCATCTGTGTGGATATCCAAATTCTAACATTTCTTAACATTTATATCCATAATAGCCACCTAAACCACGTGAGGTCAGAATGCAAGCAACTATTATGGAATAGCAAGGCAACTAATTAGCATGCGATTGTCAAGGAACAACCAAGGCGAAGGACAGTCAAGACTCACATGCTTACCTTACTCCTATAGGCTTCTTTTGCTAAATATAAGGTTACAAAAAGCTTTCTACTTGAGGTTACTGCGGCACCACCCCAAGAGGAAGGAGTGCAGGCCTGTGAGGACCTCCTTCAAGGGAGGACAGCCTCGGTTCAACAGGAGTAGACCCACAACCTTCTGCATTGGAATTTCATACCCATAATTAGATAAGATTATAGGTGTAATCAAAAGTAATTGAAGTTTGCACCCCATGCAAAAGAGGTAAGGCTTGGATTCTGGACATACATTAAATAGGAACAGTCTACCCCCACCATTTCTGGCTCCTGACTTTTATTGCTTGACATATAAGGAGGAAGAAATGAGACTCTTCTCTTTGTTACTCGCCTAAAGTCTTTGTAACATTACAGGGCAGTAGTTTCCCCCCTTTGTTTTCCTTGGGTTCCACGCCTTTAACGTACAGAATCACCCTTGAAGAAGGGATGGTGTGAATTCCTATGGAGTAGAATGAAAATATTTAAGGAAAACTACGGGATTTTTCCTTGAGACACATGGGCTGAAGTAAGCTTCAGTTATGGAATTTGATAGGAGAAAGTTGTGTGAACTAGAGACTTCTTCTCAATGTAATTGAAAAAATTAATCGAGGGAGAGTAGAAGAATGGTCTGAAAATTAGGTGGAAGTAGTAGAGGATTATGTGCAGCCAAGCCTATTCTAACTGTCTACTCCCTATACATGCATGCGTATGATTACCATTGCATGGTCGGGGAAAAAGGCATGGTGATTTGTTATGGTTACTCACCTACCGGATCATATCTTTGGAAAAAGTTCTGATAATTCAATTCCACCCCATAAGTTTAAGAATTTTGAAATCCCAAACCAATAGTCGTAATTTGATATACGTTTGGTTGTTGTAAAGATTGTTGCAGACTCTTTGAGAGGTCTGCTTCCTCTATATCCAAAGGCCCCAATAGCTCACTTAAGGACCAGACGCTATTGTTCAGGATCCTGCCCTCCCTTATAGTTTTCCCCTTGCTTTTCCACACCCCTTGCCACATAGGCAAAGGTGTGAAAGCCCAAATCCCTTTCCTGCCTCTTTGTCACATTGTACTTGTTGCTTGGGTATTCGCCTTTCTGTTTCTCTTTACATACAGTTATGGGATGCCTAACATAAGCTGATGAAAGAAAGCAGTTAGATTCTTCATTCTACCTTTCCTCTATCTAGTTTGATTCCTTTCATATGGCATACTATCTTGCAGTGTGGTATGGTCGAACTGACTGCCTTCAGAGAGTTCATTAGTCTATGTCTAATGTGACGGTACAACCAAAGAGGGGGAGTGTATCAAAGCTTTTCACCACTCGAAGGGGAGTAGAACAAGGAACACAATGATACTAAGGTTCAGATTGTGGCAAAGAAGTTCTAGAATTTGTGTGTACAGCAAAAAGGTTGAGAGTTTAAGTGGCTTTGGATTTTGAAAAGGAAAGGTGATTGATAGGTTTGAATTTGAAGGACTAGACTTGAAGTTAAAGAAATACGATGACCGACATCAAAATACTAGTTAGAATAATTGAGCAGGAATGTCCTTAGAGTATTGGTTTAAAAGGAGATAATCACACGGGAAGACTGGTTGTAATAATTGACAGGCAATTACATGAGGCGAATGGTACGGGACATGAGATATGAGAAATGAGACTACTGGGTGCTATTAGTGGCAGTAAGTGCAAAGGAAGAATGGAAATTCATATCTGCTTGCAACTTGTCTACAACAATTATATAGTTTAAAAATGTAAAATGAAGAAATCTTTCATTTCTTATGTCTCGTGCGAACCTAAAGAGTGACAGTGCCATTATAATCCTGTTTGTTTGAATTATGACATTGTTTTTGAAGTAATTTCTTATACCTGTTCCTGGTGTTTTGTGAAGAGAGGCAGAAGAGGGTTCTAGATAAAATGGGTCTTACAATAGAAACCTCATTCTTTTCATTATATGATTTATATTTATATATAGGTTAACAATATTAAGAACTATTTATTCTTTAGGTTGCCTTTCTCAAGGCAAGGAGAGGATTTGTCCGCATAGCTATGGAGAAGGGCCATCCCCTGGTTCCAGTTTTCTGCTTTGGACAGGTTTTCATTTTTTTTAGATCTCTTTTATTCCATATAGGCATCTTGCTGTATTTGCTTCGTTTTTTTTTTTTTTTTTTTTTAAGCTTCACAAAACTCTTAAACTAATAGTTAAATGTAAAAGAATACGTTGTGTATTGATCTGTGTCAGGGAGTTACAATATATAGAGACCCTAATGGGCTTAAGTGTAAGGCCCAAACCTAATCCTAATACAGTCAGAATACAGTCAGACTATTTACGGATAAGACAGAATCCAATCATATCTAATCATATCATATCTAATATTCTAACACTCCCCCTCAAGCTGGTGCGTATATATTATGAGCACCAAGCTTGTTACAAATGTATTCAACCCGAGGACCTCTAAGAGCTTTAGTGAAAACATCCGCTAGTTGATCAGAGGAGTTGACGAAAGCAGTCTTGATTTCTCCTGACTGAATCTTTTCTCGAATGAAGTGACAATCAATCTCTATATGTTTGGTCCTCTCATGAAAGACAGGATTAGAGGATATATGTAGCGCAGCTTGATTATCACAGATGAGTGTCATGGGTTGTTTCTGTTCACAAAGATGAAGCTCCTGAATCAACTGCTTTAACCAGACTAACTCACAGGTAGCATTTGCCATTGCACGACACTCAGCTTCTGCACTAGATCGAGCAACAACAGGTTGTTTCTTGCTCTTCCACGAAATTAAGTTTCCTCCAAAGAAGACACAATAGCCAGAAGTAGAGCGTCTGTCCGAGGGTGATCCTGCCCAATCAGCATCTGAATAACCACAAATTTCTGTATTTCCCTGATCTGAATACAACAAATCTTTTCCTGGTGCTCCTTTGATGTATCGGAGGATCCTCACAACAGCATCCCAATGTGAATCACAAGGGGAATCAAGAAACTGACTAGCCGTACTAACAGCGAAAGAAATATCTGGCCTAGTCACAGTAAGATAGTTGAGCTTCCCAATTAGCCTCCGATAGCGTCCAGGATCAGATAACGGCTCCCCCTGTTCGGGTAATAACTTGACATTAGGATCCATAGGTGTATCAACTGGTTTACTCCCCAACATACCAGTTTCTTCTAGGATATCCAAGGCATATTTCCTTTGACAGATAGAAATGCCCTGTCTGGATTGCGCCACCTCAATTCCCAAGAAGTAACGCAGCTTCCCAAGGTCCTTTGTTTGAAATGTACTAAACAAATGCTGTTTTAACTGACGAATTCCGTCTTGATCACTTTCGGTGAGAATGATGTCGTCAACATAGACTAACAAATAGATACACTTATCAGGAGATGTAATCCTATAAAACACAGAATGGTCAACTTTACTGCGGATTAAGCCAAACGCCTGAACAGCAGAACTGAAGCGACTGAACCATGCTCGAGGAGACTGCTTGAGACCATATAAGGATTTCCGAAGACGACACACCTTTCCAGACTCCCCCTGAGCAACAAAACCAGGTGGTTGCTCCATGTAAACTTCTTCTTGTAAATCACCATGAAGAAAGGCATTTTTGATGTCAAGTTGAAGGAGTGGCCAGTGACGAACAGCAGCAAGGGCAAGAAAGAGGCGAACTGACGCCATCTTAGCGACCGGAGAAAATGTATCGCTATAATCAAGGCCAAAGATTTGAGTAAAACCCTTGGCAACTAAACGTGCCTTGAGACGATCAATTAGGCCAATAGGTCCAACTTTCACAGTAAAAACCCAGCGACAACCAACTATAGACTTCTCTGGAGGAGCAGAAACAAGGTCCCAAGTGCCATTGGAATGAAGTGCAGTCATCTCATCAAGCATTGCTTGGCGCCACCCTGGATGGGAAAGTGCTTCACCTGTGGTCTTAGGAATAGAAATAGAAGAAAGACTAGAAACAAAGGTGAAATGAGGTGAAGAAAGACGGTCATAATTCAAAAAGGTATAAAGAGGATAAGGGTTACGAGTAGTACGTGTACCTTTTCTTTGAGCAATGGGAAGAGTCTCTGATGAAGGATCCGGAGGGGAAGAAGCAACAGCAGTGGGCGATGAGTCAGCAAGAGTCGAGTCGACAGAAGGCACAGTTTTGCGACGCTGATAGGTGAGAAGTGGACGGTCCTTAGGTATAGAAGCAATAGGTTGCTCATCTGGAATAGAAGCACCTGCAGCTGGCAAAGACAAGTCAAGAAAAGGGACAGGAAGTACATGATCAACCTGTGACATCTGAGATGGGATAGAATTAAAGGGTTGTTGATCAAGAAAAGTGACATCAGCGGAAACTAAGTAACGCTTAAGGTCGGGAGAATAACAACGATAACCCTTTTGAAGACGAGAATAACCAAGAAAGATACACTGAAAGGCTTTGGATGTTAACTTATCCTTACCAGGAGTGAGATCATGAACAAAACAAGTACAACCAAAGACATGTGGAGTTAGAGGATAAAGAGGAACATCTGGAAGCAATAGATTATGAGGAATGTCATTGTGGAGCACAGATGAAGGCATGCGATTGATGAGAAAACAAGAGATGAGTACAGCATCTGCCCAGAAGTGAAGAGGAACCTGCATATGAATAAGAAGGGTACGGGCAGTTTCAATGAGATGTCTGTTTTTACGTTCAGCCACCTCATTTTGTTGTGGAGTGTGAGGACAAGTAGTTTGATGTAAAGTACCTTGTGTGGCCAAGAAATTAGAAAAATCAATAGAAACATATTCCTTAGCATTATCAGTACGTAGAATACGAATAGAAACACCAAATTGAGTATGGATCTCAGTAGAAAACTTTTTATAAATGGAAAATAACTCAGAACGATTTTTCATTAAATAGGTCCAAGTGCAACGGGAAAAATCATCAATAAAGGTAACGAAATACCGAAAACCTAAGACAGACAAGGTACGACTTGGACCCCAGATATCTGAATGAACAAGAGAGAAAGGGGCATCAGCTCGTTTATTGACTCGACTGGCAAAAGAGAAGCGTGTATGCTTCCCTTGTTGACATGACACACAATCTAAAGACTGAAGACCGGACAAAAGAGGAACCATTTTCTGCAACTTTGAAAGACTTGGATGACCAAGGCGACTGTGGATAAGTTGTGGAGATTCTGTGAGAGAGCATGCTACTGAAGGACGAGGCACATCCAGATAATAAAGCCCCCGTGACTCACGACCCACTCCAATCATTTTCCCCGTACCCGGATCCTGTACAGAAACATAATGGTTAGAGAAAGTAATGGTGCAAGTGAGGGAGTGGATCAACTTACTAATAGAAATTAAGTTATAAGGGATGCCAGGAATGTAATAGACAGATGTCAGGGCCAAGGTAGAGGTCGGACGAGCTTTTCCAATCCCACGAACTGGGGCTTTGGTTCCATCCGCAAGGGTAAAAGACAGTAAATGATCAGAATAAGTAAGAGATGTATAGAGTTCCTTATTACCACAGAGATGATCGGTAGCACCGGAGTCAAATATCCAAGTGCCAAGTGATGTAGAATGAGAAACACAAGCAACGGGATTACCAATATAAGGCTGAGACTGAGGAGAAGCCTTCCTGAGAGGGGTTTGGAGTGCAGCACAGTCCGAACCTGAACCAAATGATGCATTGTCTGACTGAGCTATATTTGCAACAATAGAAGGAGAGTTAACCTCCGAGAGATCAGGAGATGCTGCTGCCATTTAAAGATAAAATATAAAAGCCGTAAACGAAGGCAAATGATATCCAATCAAGAAGAACCATGCGTCTAAGGTCAGACCCACAGAGAAACAATCACAGATCCAGAAAGGGGAGGAGAAGGCGAGCTTCTCTGTCCAAGACCGGCCGGAAAAAGCCGCCGGAATAGTGCTCACGCGCCGGCAGAAGGTGGCGCGTGAAGCCCACGCGCAGTGAAGACAGGTGGCGCGTGACGGCGCGTGGGAGATGCGTTGCTGACCGGACCACCACAGACCTGGTCGCCGGGAAGAGAGGGTCTTGATCGCGTGAAGTTTGGTCGGAAAAGTCACCGGAAAAAGTCTCCGGTTGCCTGAACAGTGATTCCGACGGCGGGCGGTGGTTCCGGTGGCCGTCGGAGGTGCTGACGCGTTTGGAAAAATCACTCAGAGGCTGTTTACAGCCCTAGAAGGCTTGCCGGAAGGACGCACGGCAAGAAAGAGGACTCCTAAGCAGTGGGCTTAGGTTTTTAAAGCAAAAAAAAAAAGGTTTCTGAGCGGAAGCGAGGGTTCCTAGAACGAAAGAGCTCTGATACCAAGTTAAATGTAAAAGAATACGTTGTGTATTGATCTGTGTCAGGGAGTTACAATATATAGAGACCCTAATGGGCTTAAGTGTAAGGCCCAAACCTAATCCTAATACAGTCAGAATACAGTCAGACTATTTACGGATAAGACAGAATCCAATCATATCTAATCATATCATATCTAATATTCTAACACTAATAAATACCTGGGTATCTAATGTTGCTAGTTTATGCTTTTCATTTTCTTTGTTCATTCAAATTAACTATCATTCCCCTTTTGGGTGCAAACTTGCTAATAGTCAGGTGTCTATAAGTGGTGGAAACCAGGCGGGAAGTTAATTCTGAATTTTTCGAGGGCGATCAAGTTCACACCAATATATTTTTGGGGAATTTTCGGGTGCGTGCATCTTTTATATGTTAACTTGCCTCCTACCTTTGATCTCCTTTACCTCCTGTTTTCACTGGACTAAGGTTTTTCCATGATGAATGTAGCTAACTAATATTTTATTTGAAATTGAGGCTGTTCAATGGATTAAATTTTGAAGCGATGAAACAATAGAATAAGCCATTCTTAAAATGTCAAACCAACTCCAGAGTCAAAATGATATATATATATATATAGACCTCTTTTCCCTTTATAACCACTTTATGGTTGTTGGATCAACATCAAATCAACGTCACAAATTGACATTAAGTGAGAGCTGTTAATTTAATTTTATTCCAATAACCATAAAAGTGGTTGTAAGAAATTGTAAGGGAAAAAATATTGCAAGTATCTCTCTCTCTCTCTCTATATATATATATATATATATATATATATATATATATATATATATGTCAAGAAGGGATTGCTACATAATATGGAAGGCCAATTTTGTTTGGTTCATCTTAATATTTGCGGCTAAATGTGATTGGAGAAGGTGGATTCAATTGACCTTTTACAATCAACTTTTAGCAACTAGTAACTCACCAGCATTTTGTATAGAAAATTTCATGTAATATAGAAGAATTTGATACAGAATTGAATAATTGATGTGAGGACAGTAATCAATTGTTTGGTGCACAAGTACGAAGCTTAAACTAGTTAACACATAAGTTGCTATTCTCTGGAACTATTTTTTAACACGAATAGTCTCTTCTCTTTAGATCTCCGTTACCATTTAAAAATCCAATGCATGTGGTGGTGGGTAGACCAATTGAGCTCGAGAAAAATCCAAAGCCAACGACTGACGAGGTATATACTATTATACAACCTTTATATTGAATATCATTACTAGCTATGGGGCTCGGGAGGTATTTACAAAATTGAGCTAAAGTTTTTATCTCTTATTACTTAACTTTGTTTTAGGTTGCTAGAGTACATAATCAGTTTGTTGAAGCACTTCAAGATCTTTTTGAGCGGCACAAAGCTCGAGCTGGATATCCAAACCTTGAGTTGAGAATTGTTTGACAAGGCCGTAACTTCGAGCCATATTTTCATGGTGTAATTATAAGTATCTCCTCTTAGATTAGTGTATGTTTGGGAGTTTGGAAGATAATGAAGTGGTTTGGAAATGGCATTGAAGAGTAAAAAAGAAAATGTCATCATCATATTGTATGTAATAAGTGGCGGGAAATTACAATGGTAATTATTAATTAATAAAGTAGAATATATTTATGGGCCATGAGCCCTTAAACCTAGGGGTGGTAATCAGGGGTTTTTACCCACCTCGTGGAGTCTTAAATTTACATGTCTAAAATTGATTATTGGGATTATGTTTGGATTTGTATAAAAGCTCGTTTAATAAAATGGTTTCAAGCTCTAATTTAAAAGTTCGACTTTAGAATCTCTCAGATTGGTTTAATGTATTAATTTTTATTTTTATTTTATATTTTTTATACGGGGAAGGATTTGTTTATAAATTTTTTTTTTTTACAAATTTTTGCAAATTACACTATGTATTCCCGGGAGAACATAGTGTAATCTAGTGTTCTCCCGAGAAAACATAGTGTAGTTTGTAAGAGTTTGTAAACAAAAAGTTTGTAAATATAACCTTCCTCTTTTTATACTACTCATGATAGTTCTTTCTTTCCTCAATCTATTTAAACCAATTTTATTGATTAAACAGATTTTTTAAATGATTTTGTTTTATATTATGTTGTTTGGATATAAATTGAATTTATGAATCTTTGTGAAATTATAAGTGTTATTGATCATATATTATGTTTGGGTAAATTTTTGTAGTCTTTTTTTTTTTGTAATAGGTTAAATAAGGCTTTTATTTTTTATACAAGTCATGCCATAGACCGATTATTTAACAGGATAGGCCAAATTGATATATTTAAACACAAATTTAGCTTTTTAAGATCAAAGTCCGGCTCGACAGCTCAGTTCGTTAACACTCTTAAACCAATAAATATAAAAAGTAGAATAGATTTCAAACTCCAATATTGTCCTTTCAATATTATTTTTTAATTTTTAAACAAATTATTTCCAATTTTAACCTTAACAACTCTAATCTTTTTGTATCAACCTTACACACTTTTTTTGTTCTTTTTTCTTTCTTTCTCTCTCTTTAGTTGTTCCAAAGAATAGATACGAGGCTCTTAAGAATTTTAATCAGTCTTGTACTAAAATCCCGAACTTTATTAGGGCCAACTTTTTATGTTTTTCCATAATCTCAAGTAGAAGGGCAAACAAAATGTTCATCGATTTGGGGAAGGTTTATTTTTGTACACGCTTGTCTCAAATTGTATACAACTCATCCAATTCCCAAAAGTCCTCACAATTGCCTTTTGCTTTGCCTTTCATGCCTTTTTGTATGAGATATGAAATCCAAGAATGGATGCAATCTTTTCCTAGATTAGACCAATTTTAATAGTTGGCTCTTCTCGTATCATTTCTGCGTTTTGACAAACAAGAATGTATTAGCGATACAATGTGATTATTGTATAAATACAGAGGCTAGTTGACTTACCGATGATCAATGAACAAATGAAATTTGAGTCAAGCTGTTTGTGATCTTGTGAAAGTGATTGACTAACACATGTGTGGGTGTTGTTCTATATGCCTATAAACCATTTAGTACCGCCTTTTTTTGACATATGCCCTCATCCTCCATGGACAACCGTCATTGTGATTTTTACAAACCATTATCAGCCTTTTCGTATCACTTTTTTCTACGACAATTATGTGATGATTTGCCATACAGTATTGTTTTATTGCCATTTATACATCCTGCTTGCTCTCAAACACATGGTCCTTATAGAGCTCTTGATCCATCTGCCAATTTCGTATTTATGCCCCTTGCATTTCATCACACTCCTGATCTGGGTGTGCCCAATTTATATTCGTGTAATGGCTTATTTGCGACCAAAACGTTACAGTATCCTCCCTTGTATAATCCCAACGTATATCATTACTAATACCATTTTAAATAAAATAAAAACCACTGTAGATAAACTAACCTGCCACTGGTGGTGGGTCATGTGTTCCGACAATGCCCGGTGATGGACTATAAGGAAAGAAGCAAATCAAGCATAAAGAGTTGGCTAAGTTAGTGTTTTGGTATTGAAGTACTGGGGAAACAAATTATATTCTTGGTATAAAACTCTTATTAGACCAGAAGAATAACTTTTGTCTTTGTGATTGAGTCACATTACCTCAAGTAGGAAACATGTTTTAGTTAAAAGAGGGACTAAAAGTTCCATAGTCTTTGAACTAAAAGCTACATGTAAATCCTATTTGGAAGGAAAAATGGCTAAGCAATCTTACAAGGTCAAAGGGATTTGCGCAAATATTCAACTAGAATTGGTACATACTAATGTATGTGGACCAATTAGTGTTCAAGCCAGAAGAGGTGGTGAGTACTTCATTATATGAATGGTTACTCTGGATTTGGACAGATGAACCTAGTGCGCTATAAGTCTAAAGCTTTTGGAAGTTTCCAAGAGGTTTAAGTCTAAGGCAGAATAGCATGTAGGTGTTCAAAAGTGTTGGCTATCTGTCTGGTAAGTTCAAGTCTTACCTGATTTAAGAGGGGGTAGTTGTATAACTGTCTACTCTAAGAACGCGTTAGTTGGATAAAGTTGCAGTACGTAGAAATCAAATATTTCTGACTTGGTGAAGTCCATGTTCAATTATTCATCCGTACCAATAATGTTCTAGGGAGATGCCTAAGAGAAGGAGATGTACCTTCTTAACTTGGTTTCGTCAAATTTTGTTGTAAAGACACCTAAAGAATTTTGGAAAGGGTGCAAGCCCAGATAAAACCATATTCGGATTTAGGGTGCTACGGCACACGTCTTACAATAGCAGTGAAATAAGATGGAATCTTGTACGAAATAGTGCATATCTTTTGGCTACCCTAAGAGAATCAGGGATGATTTCTTATTTAATCTTAAGGACAAGATAATCTAAGTGAGCACTGACGTTATTTTCTTAAAGGAGGACTAGATGAGAAATCATAAGCTCTTAATTAAGGTTATTCTTGATGAGTTTTATCCTAGATCAAGAATTTTCAGAATCTCTAGAAGCTTCATCCAATGTTCCCTTGATTGTTTAAGAGGGGAAATATATATCTCTAGGTGAACCATAGTTCTTCAACTTGTGTTATTTGTACTTTGAGAGTACTTAGCCATTGTTAAACACCTTTCTTTGATTTCTTGAGTAGTTAAGGGAGTGAACCCTATACACTTGAAAGGTCACCAAATTCATAAGAAAATTTGGAGTGAAAAATTGTAAGGCATCAAGAGCCCGAAGTCTTGAAAGATTGTAGTGGTTTGTCAAGCACCCTCAAGCTTGATAGTTAGTGAAAAGAATCGATCGAGCGGCTTAAGTCTGGACGTAGGTCACGGTGGTGGTGACCGAACCAGGATACATCTAGTTTGCAATTTGTCTAACCTTAATCTCTTTATTTAAGTATTAAAATTGCATTTTAGATTGTCTTTATATATTCGCTTGCTTACTTTGTTGATCACTACACTTGCTCTTACACTTAGATTTTTTCTTATTAAATCACTTTATTGAAGAAATAGTCTTTAAAATATCAAAGGAGGTACTTTGCGAAAAGATTTTGTAAAACTCAATTCACCCTCCCCCCTCTTGAGTATTGAAGCCACTTGTCCAACAAGTGGTATCAGAGCTTGAACTCTTGTGTAAAGAGCTTAACCGCTTCAAGAGAAGGGATGGCTTCTTTGAACCATGATATGCCCCTTGAGGGATCGTCTAGTACTAGACCTCCATTTTTCAATGGCGTCGATTATTCTTATTGGAAGAGTCAGATGAAAATATTTCTTCAATCTAATGATTTAAGAGTATGGAATGTAGTTGAAAAAGGGTACACACCACCTACTATAAAAATGCGAAAGATGAAGATGTTCCTAAAGATATAGATAATTACACCGAAGATGAAATTAAGAAAGGAAATTGGAATGCTAGAGCTCAAAACTTGATCACAAATGTCTTAGGTGGTGATGAATACTTTCGTGTTTCAAATTGTAAGAATGCTAAGGAAATGTGGGATATTCTTCAAATAACCCATGAAGGAACTAGTGATGTTAAATTTACAAAATTAAATGCACTCACTAGAGAATTTGAAATGTTTGAGATTCATGAAAATGAAAGTATTCAAAGTATGCAAAAGAGATTCACACACCTTGTCACTCATCTAAATGCTTTAGATAAATCTTTTACTAACCTTGAGTTAATTGCTAAGGTGATTAGAAGTGTGCACAATGGCAACCCAAGTTGACGGCTATAACGGAATCAAAAGATTTGAAAACCATGGATCTTGCAACCTTGTTCGGCAAACTTCAAGAGTATGAAATGGAGCTAACTAGAATAACCTTGAAGGAACAAGCCATCAAGAAAAGCAAGGGAATTGCCTTGAAAGCCTCAACACCAAGCAAAGAGAAAGATGAAGAAAAAGAAGATGGAGATTCCGAAAATGATCTTGATGAAGATGAAATGAGTCTCTTCATAAAAAAGTATGGAAAATTTTTTAAGAAATTTTTTTCAAAGAAATCCGCATTTCCTCTTAGAAGAAGATCTAAAGATGAAGGATCCTCACAACTCACTATCACTTGCTATGAATGTGGAAAAATCGGTCACTACAAATCAGATTTTCCAAATATTCAAAAGAAAGACAAATATGAAAAGAAGCAAGGCAAGGATAGAAAGAACTTCAAGAAGGCTTATCTTGCTTGGGATGACGAATCTAGTTCTTCCGATGATGGATCCAAGGAAGGAGCTAACCTATGCTTCATGCAAGATGGGAGACCACCGGAGAAATCAAGCAAAGGGACTCAACATATATGTCTAATGGCAAATGAGGACAAAAATGAATCCGAAACTGAGGTAAACTCATCTTGCTCTACTATTTCCCCTTCATATAATGAGTTGTCTGACATGTTTGAAGAAATGCACAATGAAACACTAAAACATGTTAAAACTCTTAGAGCATCAAGAAAAACTATTAGTTCTTTGGAAAAACAAATTGTGTCGTTAGAAAAGGAAGTGAAAGAAGATTTGAAAGACGAAAATGAAACTTTCAAATTACTTGATGCTAGCACTAGTTGTATCAAATGCCTATCTTCAAATGATCATGCATCTTCATCATCATGTACATCATGTAAAGATCTAAACAATGAAATTGATGATTTAAATGAAATTCTAAGCAAATTCACAAGTGGAAGAGATAACTTAAATGTGTTGCTTGGCAAACAAAGATGCATGTTCAACAAATCCGGTTTAGGCTTTAACACTAGCACACAAGAAAAATCATATAAAAACTTCTTCATTTCTCCATCCTACATGACACAGATAGCTTAT